ACTCCCAGTACGGCCCTCGGACTTGGTTAATAAGATATATGTATGGAGAAACGCAAATACGTACCCGCCTTTTTGGATCAGGATCATCAAACAACACGAGTTTTCAAAGTTGTTATTTTATTCGATAATCGGAGAGTACCGAAAAAAAAAACACTGTTTTACAGCGAAAGCCTCTCAAATAAATACATTCCCACATATTTATAGCAAATAGTTTTTATAAATCTATTATTCATTAACAGCTTTGTATTATGTACGAAATTAAGTTATAAAACTAACTTGAGAAAACAAGACAATTATAAAGTTAGAGGCTCGAAAGCAATTTGGTGGGAAAAAAAAGGTTTGCTTTTTCTCTCACAAATGAAAATATATTATGTAACAAACAGAAAATGACACTTAGTTTCACTAGTCATTGTGTAAAATCATATTTCCACTTTCAAAAAGGGTGATAATTTCTTAACAAAAACTGTTTTATTTTTCTATTATATTATCATTTGATATGCTGTGAAGCTTGCATAGTAAGTGTGTTCAAAATATAAAAAAAATTTTCCACAAGATCTTTTTTATTAGTCAAATTTTAAATTACCTTTTCGTAACAAGTTCTAAGTTTCGCTGCCCCTTGAAGATCACGGAACAAACTTTGTAAGAGACCTTTGGCAGATGAGCGAAAAAAAAAAGTAGATTTACACACCAACTTTCGCTAAGAAAGTAATTTGTCAAAAGCCTTTCTGGGTTCCTCAACCGAAACTGGCAGGGAGACCTGTATCGCTTTGAAGCATTGCCATGGCAACACTAATGACCAAATTGTATATTTTCCTGGAACACAATCATTTATTAGATGTCTCCTTTTTTATCTAACAGACGTCTATGTAGTCACTCGTATTCAAGGACTTTCTTGTGGTAAAAAAGAAGATATCTGAAATCAAAGTACGACAAAAATGTTAAACGTACATCATATTTATCATGGAAGAGATGAAAAACATTGACGTCGAATCGAAACTCTTCTGCAGTTGGTGAACAATTGAAATAGAGAAGTTTTCAATCGAGTATCAAAATCCAAAACCAAAGTAATTACAACTACCCGTCAGAGAAAAAAGTTAACATCATCACTAAGAGAACTCAAAGTAAAAACAGGCAACCTGCTTTAAGCGCGGAAAAGCACGCGTGTGAAAAACTTGGGATTGGTTTTAGTCTTTCACTTGATTGGCTGAGATGGTGGCACGAGGTTTTTAAACCAATCACAAAGCAGTCCAGGAGCACTTTCGATATTCAATTGAAAACTGCTCTAAAAAGGTAAAGAGGCTCGTGTCTTACCCTTCACTCTGAAGCACGTCATCCAACGTAGCTTTCGTGATCCATGCATCGTCACATTTAAACCACTGAAAAA